GGTTAGCGGGTTAGCCGCGGCTATCCTGTGGATGAGAGGTGTTAAGCCTGACGCGTATTCAGCGACGTTAGGCCGCCTAAGCTCGCCGAGAGTATTTTTATGCGCGCGACGTCTCGAAAGCCTGCGGAGCTTCAAGCTGACCCCAGGGATATTAGAGAGCGGATAAAGAAATATGACGATTGTCGATGTTTCCCCTCTGTCGTGTTCGGGGTTATGTTTTGCTGACTGGTTTCATGTTAGTTGGATCAGAGGGGAGGAGTTTAACTCCATCTTTCAAGCCGGATTTGATTTCGTTGCGTTCAATGGAAAGAAATTATTCATCGGCCGAGTAGCAGCCATGAAAGCACTTATAATAGCGGACGAGACATAGCCATTTTCAGTGTTGGTTCAGTACTGATTCGATAAGTGTGCGACATTGATATCTATTGAGACTTAAGTAGAATTTTTTGTCTGACCTCATTTGTTATTTTAAGCTGGTCAAACTGTATCGCGTTTGAAATTTTACACGACGATGCTGAAAACGGTTTTCGCGCACCATACATTTCGCCGACGATTGATATACATATGTACATCGAAAAAATCGTATTCTTAATTTTAGAAAAATTCCCTCTAAAGCTTTCTTCTAATCGAATATTGTAAAAAGTTCAGAATATTCCCCTCTAAAAGTCTTTTATTTAGAATAACATCTAAAATAAAGAAAATATTCTAAAATATATATATATATATTTCGTCGCCAGTTGGTTGACGAACGACACTCGCTCTCGCGCATGCGTAAACTATAGTCTACGCAGCTTTTATTGCGTTGCCTTATCGTGTCCTGAACGTGTCCTGAACGTGTTTCGAAGGAAGTCTAATCTAGTGATGTAGTGCTGAAACATGGAAGAAGTGAAAAAGTGGTTGCTTGAACATAATTTATCGGAATTAGTCTGCCGTTTTGAAAGTAAGTACGAATTATTGAAAAAGTATATGAGTATTACGTAACCTAGACTGAAATGATTTGTCAAAATAATAGCGAAACAACGTTGAAACGATGTCGATGTTGTTTCGACAAACCGCTTCTGACTGAGAAGTACTGATGCGCACTCAAACCTCGTCGACAGTCTATCCAACAGCCGAGCGTGTGTCGCCACGTGAATACAACGTGCATTCCACGTGGATTCGACGTACGTTTTTGTGGGGCTACTACTATTTATCCATATTAGAGGGATATTCTAACTCTTATTAGAACATTTTCTTATATTTATATTAGAGGGAAATCCTCTCCTTTTTATAATATATACTTGGCGCGTATTTTAGTGGCAAATATTCTATACTTTAGTTACTTTTCTACAATGTAGAATAAAATTTTTTCGATGATAAGATGAAGTTTAAAAATATTCGCAAAATAAATAATGCTGTACGATCAGTTAGTGAATAATGAAAAGCGCGCCAGCTGTCGTCTACAATAACAAGTACTGAGAATTAAAAAAATCCCAAATTATTGTGCTTTCCTCGACGTATCTGGTATATAAATCGGATAAAATCGGTTTTGCGGATTTAACGTCGGCTGTGAACCATTTTATCCGATGCACCTGTTAGCGCGAAAATTGTGCAATGATTGATTCATTAAAATACAGGATGCCTACAGCCTCCTGTGTGATACGCCGTATTATCATTTATAATTCGATACACATTATCCAGTACCTCGCTCCCTTTCTCTCTCTCTCTCTCTCTCTCTCTTTCTCTCTCTCTCTCTTTGTTGTTCTCTTTTTCTCTCATTATATTACATGCTATTTATCTCGAAATCTTTCATTATATTAAACTACTCCGTTGTTCAATGTCCTTGTAAACATATAAGTTATTTCATATTTCAGTGTCGATGCAATAAATGTGACACGCCATTCGAAAATATAATTTTCATTTCGCAAAGTTTATAACAGATCAATGCGTCGATAGTGTAAAAATGGAAATAAACTTGTAAAATTAACGTAAAAACAATATTAGGTTGCACAATAACAACAGAAAGCTGTATGCAGAAATATCTGCAGTCATAGGGATGTAAAAGTAACCGTGCAGGATGCCTAATGAGAATTCAAGGTAAATGCATTATCACTATCAATTTATCGATGAAAAATCGATAAATGATGCAAATGAGGGCCCTTTGTAACCTGGGCTAAACGAATTTAACAAATAAAGAAAAGCTCGATCTCGCAAGCCAAACGCAGTTTCTATAATTGGCTTTTAAATGAAAATTAGCTATCTCTGGGAGTGGTATGACGTCTGCCGATAATGTCGAGAAGGGACACGCAGGTTTGACCTGTCACCTACCATATATATATATATATATATATATATATATATATGTATATAACGATTCCATGTTCTTTACTCTCCGTTCGATACACGCGGCATTCAGCGCACAGTTAAATGTTCGTTCGTCTCTATACAAAATATCATTGCACACACATATGCACAACCGTGCGTGCAGGGAATATAAAAAACGTATTTGTATTCTCTTTTCGGAACAAATTTACACAAAAGGGGAAAATATTTCGCGAAATACTTCTATCACGATCCGTTGTTTTCATCGGTATCTCAATATATCGAATAAGAGGGTGCAGCGAAAATATTTTCCTAGTGTGGATTTTCTTCTCGACTCTAGTCGTTCTCTTTTTTAAAACAGCACCAAAAAGATAACACGCGACATGATAGTGTTTTTCATATAATGGCCGTACTTTTCGTGCATCATCTCGTATACTTCGTGAATTATTTCAGTCATCCGCCGGAGATGTTCTGTCGGGCGAATATCTGCGTTGGGTTAATCTTAACCAATTGAGTTACGATATGTTCGCAAATCAAATTAAAGTGTCAGGTACTTTCGACGATGTAAACTTTCAGAGTGGTTTTTGTCGCAGCGATAGGTTCTGTTGTGTACGAATCGACGCGCGTTTCTCGGCGGGCTGAAGTGGAACGAACTGAATGAATGATTCAGCGACCCAATCGATTTCAGTTTATCGGAATCGAATGTAAGTCGAGTGCTACACATCGGACGCTTGCCTAATTCGTGCATCCACAGTCAACGGTTAATAAAACATTACAAAACTCCGCCAGCTGATCCATCCCGCCTAACATTTCGCGCATTTCGACGTGGCTCGCGCAAACAGCGCGCGAGAGTGCCGCATATTAATTTACGCATTCGCGTAAAGTCCGAGAAATGTAGTGTTTTAGCAGGATCCTCGGAATATCAATAAAAAAATTATGCAGAAGCTGCTCGTGAAAATTTTACATTTTTTTTCGCTGGTAATCAACGCGAGCGTTGTTCGGAAAAGGTTAATGTCACACGGAAGCCCATGCGAGTCACGATATTCTTGCGACACGCGCGATTTAGCGGCACGAGTCCCTGCAAAATTCCCGGTAACATGAAGGTAACAAAAATAGAATAGGAGACGGGGAGATATCTTTGCTGCACATGTAAGTGCACGCTGCCCTCTCACGTCACCTCGCGAAATGCCATTTCGGCGAAAGAGATCAGCGAGATTTTACGATTTCGCGGGCAGCGGGATCCCTCGCGATTTACGGACCTCGCCTCTCGCCACGAAAAGCCGCTCTCGAGTGCGCGCTGCAATTAATGCCGTCGGATTAACGGCGGATAATGTTATTCAACGCTATGTTTAACGCGCTGCTGCGAGGCAAATAGCAAATTCAGCTGGAGAGACGACGCTGAGCGCCGTCTGTGCAAACAATACACCGTTGAATCGCCTTGGCCCGCTTGGTGCCTTCGACGACACGCTAATTGCTAATTGGAAAAGCCCCGGCAGCCGCGAGTGTGCGACGTCGTGGCGAACCGAATGCCAGCCACTCGAACTTATCAGCCGCAGAAGTGCTACGCTCGTACTACTCGCGCGCTTCGGCTGCGACGATTCTTGCCCGTGGCCTTTTCATTTTTGCCTCTTTCGTCGTGCGGCACAACGGAGCGCCGTTGAAAAGGCCGGAAGCGAGGTAGAGCGCGCGCGCGCGCCCGCGCGATCTCGCTCGTTCAGGGCTCGCGCGACGAGAGAGTATATTCCGCTCGAATACATCCCTTCTCTCTTTAAAATATGCCTCCTCCTCTCGACGGTGTGTGCCGTCGGATCATCGACGTGGAAAATCGCCGATCGATTCGTACGCGAGCGCGTCCATCACGGGCTCGTGCCCGTCGCGGAGAGGAATTTCAGAGGCGTTCGCCGCACTCGTCTCGATCCCCCGACGTCGTCACCCCTGTTCCGTCCCGTCGTTTTGTTTCTCCATCGTCTGTATTTCTGCCGGATTTCGAACTCTCTCGCCCGGCAGCTCGAATGACGACCGGCTCGAGCCCGTGCGCGCTGGATCCTTGCCAAGAGAATCGTCAGGTGGCAGTCATCGACTTGGTCGTCTACGCGAGGAAGTATCCCGAGAAACGCTCTCAGACTTCGGCGGGGTCGGCGGCGGCGGCGGCGGCGGAGCGGCTGGCGGAGGGGCGAGGGGAGGAGGCGGCTGCTGGGACAGAAGCTCAGGTGTCCCGGTCGCTTGAAGGTGGGCCCGGGTTTTGCGTTCGCGAGCCGCGCGGTACCATCAAGGCGCGCAGGTGCGCCGCGACGTTGGCGTCGGCGTCGTCGGTACCTTCTCGCCGCCCCCGCCAGCCACCCCTCGCCCTGAATACGCGTCGCTTCAGGTACGCGCGTCCCGCGACGCCACAGAGCGCGGCAGGAGCCCAGAGGATCGCGAGGTTCCATCGTTCGTTCGTTCGGGAGAAAGAGAGAGGGAGGGGGAGAGAGAGAGAGAGAGAGAGAGAGAGAGAGAGAGAGAGAGAGAGAGAGAGAGAGAGAGAGAGAGAGAGAGAGGGAGAGATAAAAGAGGAAGAAAAAAAAAGAAAAAGAAGAGAGAGTCGCGGTTCTCCGTCGGGTCGTCTGCTGCTCGTCGTTCCGCTGACTTTGACATGAGCCTCGGTTCCCGCGCGTTCGTCAGCTAGGAAGGTGGACCCCCCTGCGGAATCAGGTCAGTGAGAGAAAGATCCGTCACGATCGTCGGCGACAACGTCACACGCGATTGCCCGTCGTCATCGTCGTGACAGCAATGTCTGTCCGTTCGTCTGAGTCTGTCTCGCCCGATGTGATAACCGATAGCGCGAATCGCGCTCGGACCAAGTGAACAGATCAACGGCGACCGCCGTTCCGTTGGTCGCGAAGGATTGATCCGATCAGCCGAGGGACGAGGCCTCGGCCGCCTCGAGGGAGTTGGGACAAAAGGGCAGCGGAGAGTGGACAAGTGAGCACCTTCGTGAGGGAGAGGACGCCGTTCGCGGAGAGTCGTCGGGAAATTGTCGCGGGGGAGAAGTGAAGTGAGAAACCGCGGGTGATGGTTTCGCGGCGTCGGGCCGCGCGAATCCGCCGCAAGCTGGAGCGCGCGGTACTCGCGCGGCGCTCGTTTGAGGGATAATCCCTCCTCTCGGTTTCCTGCGAGGAAGCTGCGTCCTCGTTTGCGCGCTCTCGCTCCGAAGGTGCCCGCTTGCTCGTGGGCGAGACGACGACGACGACGACGACGACGACGACGACGACGACGACGACGACGACGACGCGCCGAAGTTGGACACCTGTTAAACTATTCCGGGCGAGAGCGGGTGAGTTGTCGACGACGACGTTCAAGTCCCAGGTGTTTAAGTTTCGTGCTACTATCGAGAGATTGCGACGCTGTGATCGCGCGTAAACTCGATTAATAAGGCGCCAAGTTGACTCGAGAATTGCGCGCGCGGTCGAACGAACGACGAACCCCGATCGATCATCGGGACGTCGCGTCGATCCGCGCGCGCGATTTCGACGTCACATGCCTCACAGGTGAGTCCTGGCCATTCTCTCTCGACGAGAGGTGTTTAAATATTCGTGTGACGCGTCGTCAAGCCGCGTCAAAACCGGCCCGTCGGCGGCCGCGCGGAACAACTTTATTTCCCTCGCGACGTCGAAACGAGAATACCTCGTTGCAGCTAACGACGAAGTTTCGATGTGCAGTTACAATTATTCAAAGCGCGCGTCCGTCGGGCAAAATAACGCCCGAGCGTTACAGTTTCATGGCTCTAACAGTCTGGCGCGACAACGACGCAGGAAGTTTGATTGCGGCTGACAATGAGTTTTCTACGACAATCGTCGAGCGGCCGACGAACGCGGCGGCTCCGCTGTTGCCCCGCGAAACCGCGCCCGAGTCGCGTGTCTGTCCTCGTTTTCGTCGTGGAATCGATAGGTAATCTCGTAAAACGCGTAACATGTGTCCGCTGTGTGACCGAAGGAACGCGAGAAAGAAAGAAAAGGGGACGAAGGAGAGGCGAGACGACGACGCGTAGCGCGAGCTTGGCGCGCGACGGTACTCGCTCGGAAATGCGCCCGAGTTAACGCTGCTGACGTGGCTTTCAAGTTAACAGAGGCAATCATTAGCGGCGAAGCATTGTGAATCGCGAATATTACTCTCGGTTAATCGGGCTCGCGGGAGAGTGGCACGTGAGAGCGCGTTCGCGTAATAGGGGAGCGTCATTAAACACGCAATCTTCTCCGCGCGCGGAAACAAGTCCCGTCAGATTCGAAGGATCGTTCCTCCCGCGGGGGAGGATTACGAAATTGTGCATAAAGCAACGACTCGGCCGTCGTTCGACGACGATAAGAAATCCAGACGATGGCGAGAGCGATCGCAAACGCGAGATACCATTTGCCCGACCATTGTCGTGCCCGGTAATGCAGTTGTGTAATGTTTTGTTAATACACACGGAACAAAAGCGCCTCCTACGCACGCATCAGCGATTCCTTCAACGAAATTGGTCGTACTCCCGTGCCCTCCGGAGGAGTCTGTATTTTCGAATCAACCTCTTATAAATATTCCATTCCGAGTTTATGATATAGTAATCTGCAGGGACCCGGCTACCCTCCCTGCTCCTCTCCGGCTCGATGTCGTCACCCGTGAATTTTTCAAACCGACTGTTGCGCGCCGTGTGTACATCGATCCGCGCACACACGCCCTCCCTCCCCCTCTGCATATTTTGCGTACCGCGCGGTGGCACAAAGTGCCGCGCAATAATCACGGTGAGATACTCCTAGGCACGCGCGTTTCGCATTCAACGAAGGTGTTATCCTCCTACGCGCACAGGCGCGCGATCGACTGAAGCTTCCTTTGCACGTTTCTCATTGTCTTGGATCGGTTTAACAAGCTCCAACGTGTCAAATGACGCGACTCCGGCCTCGGCCGACTGGAAACGTGCAAGGGAGACTTCTGCGTGCAAAAACAGCACACTCGGATCTGCGGATCCGCGACGAAGCTGATTGCAGAGGACAAAGAAAGATCTTCACTCTCGCAGCCGCGCGATCACGCGCGTATGTCAACCGCCGCGTCGTCGTCGACGATGAGTCGTCGATATCTCTGCGGTTGTGAAAACGGAAATGAGCAAAATTGTAAAGTCTCTTCCCTCTTCCCCCGCGAAGTGGCGCATTCCACGTAGAAATGTTTAGCAATTAGCGGCGACGCACGTCGAGCTTTGATGTCCAATAACAGCAGAGTGCATCTTAATGATTCGCGGGTAATCAATACGCGCGACGTCGGGGAGTTGAAGGTTCGTCCGTCAATCACCGTGACGGGAACTTCCTTTTGGGTCTTTCGGGTACCTACCTCGGACGATTGAGCAGGAGAATAAGCGCGATATCGATCGGCGGCCGCGATATTAGTGTGAACGTACGGCGGTGCAGCCAGCCAGCCAGCCAGCCGACCGGTCGGTCGGGGAAACAATTTCTATCGCATTGCGCGTAACAAGTGGCTGCGTTCGGTTCGGGGTCATGGGACTTATTCCCGGGCCGATCCCACCGATTACCCTGAAATTCCCATCGCTTCGTGACCGGCGACGGGCGACGGTGTGCCGATGATGACGGCCAGGCGTTACCCTGCCGTCCATCATACGAACCGAATCCCATTTGCCCACGATGGAAATGGTTTCGCCCCACGTCGCCGTACGTCGCGCCATTGCCGCTGCACCGTATTGAATAAAGGGGCTTCATCAAGCTGTGCGCGAGTGATGAGCGCGTGTACACATTTGACAATGAAGTCCCGAGACTGATTTCGTATTGCGAAGTTGACTAACGACGACGAACATCCAATTTGAGCCGTGAACTTAGGGAGAGAGTTGAACCAGCCAACCCGAATTCCCTCTTTCTTTCTCGTCTTTATTTTTCTTCGTGCAGGTTGTTCGGGAAAGGAACGCGCGCGCGCGCGCACACACACACGAGGGCAGAAAGAAGAGAACTTTAATTTTAATTCGATCGCTCCCCGAAAAGCGAGCGTCGTGAGTTAGACGTACATGCCTCAGATAGGGATTCAAGAGAAAATTCCCGTTCAAAAGTGCATTTGCGAGGAATTTGCGTGCGAGCTCGGAACAACGAACGGAACAGTTCGCCACGCCTGTAATTCCGCGCACGGTTCGATGTAACGATCGTAGCGAGCGAGCGTTTCTCCTCCGTACGTCGCTTTTCGACATCGAGTGAGAAACTTTGACGACACTCATGCGTCGAGAGTGCGTCGTCGTCCACTCGGATGGGCTTCGCGAAGGTGCAACGTAATCCTACGAGCGAAGTCTCTATACGATACAGCCGTAACCGGCGCGATCGTTAATTCGCGCGGCGCGCCTACGACGAGTTGATAATTTTCAACGGAAACGGCGATCTGCTGCTCTCCCTGAAGTAGGCGAAGTAGATGCTCGTGCATTATCAAATAGAAGACTCCACGAGCGAATAATTCGCCGATGAAAAGTAAACATTCATTTCCGCCTCGGGAAGCATTGTTTAAAGCATGAAACGACGCTCACGCGATTTACATTCCTCCGTGAGGGCTTAACCTTCCGTACGCGAGTTTTAATGGCTGGACCATCGGGTGAGAAAAAAACTCTCGTCTATTACAAGATTCTCGTTTCCGTTCTCTTCGATTGCGAGCTACGCGCTCTCTCCGCTGAAATGGACATGGCCGATAGTTAGCTACGTAGAAACCCTCTGGACGAGCGGTTCGGATCCACGGTCGGGTCCTCGGAATTTGCAAGCAAGCGCGCGCACGGCGAGTACGTGAATCAGGATCTCGCGCTTCCACGGCGAAGGACGCGGACGGAAAATACCAAGAATATCGCGAAACGAACCGCGGTAAGGACATTAATCCGCCATGAATGGCGAACGGATCGTATTTCTTCCTAATATCAGCGCAGCCAGGATTCCGATACATTCCGCGTGACGATGGTACACGTTCGCGATACGATACTCGAAATTACAGAGCCGTAAATTTGGCAGTGTTCCCTGCGGATACCTTATTTGCTAGCACACCTCCACACACACACACACACACACACAAGCGTGCACGATACGTGCGCGCTCGAAGTCCGAAATTTCGGGCGATGCGCCACGGAGTAAGAGCAGGGTGTGTGTCCAATTCGACTACGCGTGTTGGCTCAGAGTTGTTTACGTAATCCCACGGGGATGATACAACACGACTCCGCTCCCGGGTACCACCATTCCGCTCTCCTCCCTCTCTTTTATCAGAGTAATTTCCTTTGCGCGTCTTCGTGCGCGCTTACTTGACGGTGCGCGCGCGTTCGCTCCGGGCCGGGCCGGAATCCTTTCGTCAATTAATTTGAGAGGTCGTTTGCGGAACGCAGTAAAATTGCATCGCGTGTTGCCGGGAGAGAAGGTCGATACGCCCTCTGAGCGCGATACAACAGAGCCGTGTGCCGGCGCTATCGTTAATTCGCGCACAGCACATTTGCGGCGAGTTGATAATTTTTAATGGAAGCAGTCATTTACTCTCCCTCCGGAGCGAAGTAAGCGTTTGCATATCGATAAAAAGAAGAGAGAGAGAGAGAGAGAGTAAAGCGTTCAACGAGCAAGTGATTCCCCGGTGAAAAGTAAATATTAATTTCCACCCCGGGAAGAATTGTTTAAAGTATGAAACGTCGATTCGCGCGATTCTCATTTCTACATGAGAATCCACGTTGCTCCGTGTTGACGTTTCAACGGCCGAATTATCCGACGAAAAAATCTGCCAGTTATCGTGCCACGCGTTCGAGCATAGAGCGCGATAAAAGTCAAGTGCGGGGGATACGTAAACTTTCGGAGGCGCAAACGCGTTCCAGGCGCCTTGCTAATTAAATGGAGAAACGGAAGGTCACGGGAGGAGGAGACCTTTTCCCTAGCTTCCGCAAGCTTCCTCCAAGGAAATTTCCTTCACTTTGAATGATGCGCGTGCGTGCTTATGCGCGCGCACGTGTATGCATGTGCGTGTGTGCGTGCGCGCGCGTGTGTGCGTACATATGAGAGAATAAAGGCAAAGTGATGCGAAAGGGACCTGCGGAATCAACACATGAAATGTTATTGCAATTTACGCGAACCGTCGTAACCTAGGGTTACCCGGTCGCAGTTAACGCGGCACGCGAGCGATAATCGCCAGACGAAGCGTTAAAAGAAACCAAAGAAAGACGCGCCAGTCGACCCTCGCGACTCGCGTCTACCGAAACGCGATACGCGCGAGCGCGTATTTTCAACGTCTCACGACGTCGCGGTGCCACGACGTTCGCGGTGGCTCGTGTGCCGGAGGCGGGGAAAGGGACGGAGGGAG